AAGGAAACTTTGAGACCTGCTTTCAGATATGCAACTTTTAATTGCTCATTCATATCCGTATCCATCGTGTCAAATAATTCCATCATATCATTATAATAATGTAAAATAGTTTCGTCAAGACCTTGTTTGCTCAAATGTTTGCTCTGCCCCGCAAACTGAGAATCTGCGCGAAGTCATTGAGAAAAACTGAGATATTAGAGTTTTACGGAGAAATAGCGGAAAGGTGATGAAATTTGCATCAGATGCTCTACTCAACAAACAAGCAGTGACGTTATGACACAGCTTCAATTTTATATAGCACTTGCTCGTTCTCTGCTAACGCAAAATTTACAAAACAATTTTCCGACACAGTTGTTTAGAAGAGAAAAACCGTCAAATGAACCGACGTCAGCACGATTGATCGGACGGCATTTTCCTTCATTGATCCCTTCTACTGGAAGTAACGAGCGTGTATCAAGACGATGTTTCGTTTGTAGTCATACAGAAGATACAATCAATCGAGCAAGACATGAATCAAGATACCAATGCACAGCTTGCAATGTTGCGCATTGTATCGATCCATATTTTCGTGTGTATCACACTATACTAAACTTTTGAATAAACGTTGTACTTCAAAGATACTATTACACGATTCATTCTCTTCCATCTTGTTATTTCATAGCATTTTTTCTTGTTTAATGCAAATACTCAATCGCTGTTTTACAGAAGAGTTGGATCGTATAGCACATGAAGTTTCTCAACTTCTCAATACTTTTCTCCTTTGAATACGTGCACTAAATAGCTTTAAAAAAATTAACAGTTAACGGGTTAGCAGATTGATTTGTATTCTCAACGGAGTATAGGTCGATCTGTTCCTCTTTGAATCCTCCTCACCCTCATCCACCCTCGAACTAGAGACTTTGCCATCTGACGAGTCTCTTAGGCAAGGACGAAATCGCGATCATGGTAGCTGTTCTCAACCTCCTCACCTCTCCAGTATTTTGGATTTTTGGAGACCAAGGAGGGGTCTGTGGGGAAAAGTGATGTTTGGAATCGATAGAGCTCATCGAGTCCGTTGACAAGAAATCCTACGTTCTAAGGTACATATTTGCATATTTTTTTCATCTCACATATGCTTGTCTTCTAAACGAAAGAGTAAAGGAAAGAGAAGCACTAGCATTATGTGTTGCAGCTTTCTGATGAATATTTTGAAGAAACAAGTCTCTCTTTGTGTATTATCTTTTTTTCACTTGACTTGTTAGATCTGAACGTTTTACTAAACAATGCTCTATGAGATTTGCGACAAGGCAGAATGATTGATTGAACTAAAATATCTTTTATCGATTGAAAAACGTGCCATGTTCATTTGAAAGGATGATCAGCATTTTCGAAAATAAGAATTTTTATTTTTATTTTTCACGAGATTGTCATTTTTTCTTCAGCAGAACAGCTTTTTCTAAGATTTAATGCTGATCTGTATGCTATACTAATCAGATCGAAATGAGAACGTCTAAAGTGTTCTAAAACGGCGACGAAATAATACATTAAAATCTAAAGACTAAAGTAAAAAAAGATAATACATAAAGTCCTGAGAGATTTGTTTCTTCAAAATATTCATCAGAAAGCTGCAACACATAATGTTAGTGCTTCTCTTTCCTTTTACTCTTTCGTCTCAAAGGCAAGCATACGTGAGAGGAAAAAAATATGCAAATATGTACCTTAGATTATCCTCTTTCTAATACAAGAACAATACAACCTATAGCATGTTTGTGCGCAATGTGAGATTAAAAATAAAATTAATGCAAACCTTTTACCCCACCCATAATCTCTGTATTAAGCGAGTATTTATTGTGAGAAGGAAAGTGCGAAATTGGAGAACTGCGCCTCAGCACCTTTTGATGCTGAATTTTAGCGATGGTGCTCATACAGTTTTAGAAAATAAGGTAAAATTTAGGTTATAGCTAGAGATGAAAGTCTTCTCATTCTGAATCGATTTTTTTGCTCTAGAAACGACTATTTCAAGAGAACAACGATATGTGTGAAATGTGACTACATGGTAAAAGCCAGGCTCTTCGCGACAAAAGAAAATCGAACCCGAAAATTTCGAAAGATTATTTTAAAATGCAGATTTCTCGCCACCAAAACTGTTTAGTCAGTTTTACAAAATATCGTTATTTCCTTGAATAGAAATGAGCAAGTCAGACCTTTTCAAGTCTCAAGTTAAGTCATTAAAACAAAACTTAAGTTAAAAATATTGCTATGTACACTCACTTACGAGGGAACGTCCCGAGATGTCCTCTGCCGATCTCAGTGAAATCTTGCCCACATAGGGCACAGTGTCGTTAGATAAACCCTAAAAGGGTTCGAGTGACTGACCTTCCTTTTCGAAGTTATAGAGATTTTTCTTCGCTTCACACCCACAGAAACAAGAATTTTTGTCAAGTGTTTGTATTTTCGAGATTCGGTCTGGAAATCGAGATGACTTGTTCTCTTTGATCTGCTAGCTATTCTATTGACGAGAAATATCGATTTTCTTTGTTTTTCCATGAGCGAATATTTAGCTTCCGGAATCAGTCGTATGATCAGAAGCATAATACGAAAATCATTGTGTAAATTAATCGATAATAATCAGTTTTCACTTCCAAGAAATGGGTCTCTCTACCATGTTTGACAAAATAAGCAACTAGTTCCGTCAATTCGCTCACGGAAAGACGAAGAAAATCGATACTTCTCGTCAATAGAATAGCTAGCAGATCAAAGAGAACAAGTCATCTCGATTTCCAGACCGAATCTCGAAAATACGAACACTTGACAAAAATTCTTGTTTCTGTGGGTGTGAAGCGAAGAAAAATCTCTATAACTTCGAAAAGGAAGGTCAGTCACTCGAACCCTTTTAGGGTTTATCTAACGACACTGTGCCCTATGTGGGCAAGATTTCACTGAGATCGGCAGGGAACATCTTGAGACGTTCCCTCGTTAGGCATCGCTTATTTGAAGTACATGAAAGGTTTTCTTGTTCTTTGCATCTGTTTCGGCCGCTAGTTTTAGTAAGACTAGAAATAAACGGATAAATCACATCAATATTTGCACTTTCTTCAGTTAACTTGCAAATTAGTTTTACCGATCAAATTATCAATCATACTATTCTCCTTGATTTACTACCTGCTCAATCCGTCCCACAGTTAGGTGGGCTGAACGAAAAATCCTGGCGCCGTCTCTAGATGCTATCGTGAAAAATGAATTTTGTTTGAGACCTTAGATCATTGCCAATCCGATGATTATGTTTGGATATTGATATCTGTTTCTCACAGTATCATAGAAATGAAAGAATAGATGGTACATGCGCGCCTACATGATGCGCTGTTCCGATAAGAAATAAAGTAAAAAATTAATTATAAGCTAATAGACGTTATTTCGTGTTCGAACTGGAAAAGAAAATCCTCAGAGTAGTATCAAACAGCAGAGAAGTTGTCATTGGCTTGATTTACAGAAGAACGACTAAACGTTGAAACAAAGATTGTGTTGTATCTTTTCAACAACTCTGTCGCAATACACTAGTCTTATTTTTTTTTTTCTATCATATACCAAGGCATACAAAGTGATATTTTCATGCGTAAAAGGCGGTCATTTCCTTTGAAGAAAAACAAGTTTGAGAACAATAATTTCCTCACAAAGAAGAATTTTTTAACAGATTAAAATGCACTTTTTTCTACGCGTAGAAACAATAAATTTTGCGTTACTTGTCTCACTAGGTATGTCGAAGCATCGCATGATGGTTATTTTTTCTTTCCGTTCGTTCTGTTTATTGTTAGTATAACCTTTTCTGCAAAAGCCTTATAGACACAGTTTCGTTTGCACTCTGGGTGCAAACATGTTTTTGCTTTTTGTGACTATTTTGGTTATATTATTTGTCGTATATATCAAACGCAAATATTTTACATTATATGGTCCGATTCCAGGCAAAGCACCTCACTTTTTATTGGGCAATCTTCTTCATACAGATCTAACTCGTGGTGGATATATAGGAGATGTTTCAAGACAATTTCAAGAAAAATATGGTGACACATTTCAAATTTGGCTCGGACTGGCACATCTAATTTTTATATGTGATCCGAAAGATGCCCAATATGTGTTTAGTCATCGACATATTTATGAACAGGGTGATATGCATATCACCCAATATGGGCTTGTCTTCAATGATACAATTATTTGTAATATAGGTCTGTACTACTGTAAAATCTGTTTTCGAGGAGACCACGAACAAAATAAAACTTTTCTAAATTTACTCTGTTATTAACTTACTTTGTATAATAGGACTTCAATATAAGCGTCATGCAGCGGTTATTCTTCCTTTGTTTCGTCGTGCCAAAATTTTAAACAATTATGATCTGATCATTGATTGTACAGATAAATTGCTCAATCAATGGCGTTCCATAACTGACAGTGATCCTAATCATATTCATCTTAACATCGTTGATCAATGTCAAAATTTATCATTGGCCATCTTTGGTTTTATTGGTTTCGATTATGATTTACAAACATTAGATGAATCTAATATTAACCACACAAATAAACTTACACAGGCCTTGAACGATTTTACAGAAATATTTTTACGAACATTGGATCTGCCGAATTTTATCGGCAGACTCTATTTAAAACTAAATTCTCGATATCGACGTGCAAGGATAACTATTGACGAATGTTTGAATCAAATAATGGAACAAGAACAACGAAAAACACCAGAAGAGATCGCTCAACGAAAAAGAACTAGTTTAATTGCATCATTGGTCACTTCTTTACAAGAAGATGAGAAAGCTGAAGCAGCGAAACCTGAACAAGACAAGAAAGGTAAATGTTTATCACTCAATAAACTATTTTCTTGAGTAATTGTATTCTTTTTGTTAAGGTTTATCTCGTCAAGAAGTAATTCATGAACTTCTTCTCTTTCTTATCGCTGGTTCCGAAACTACCGGAGCTGTAATTGCATGGTTCATTTATTTGATGAGTAAACATCCTCGAGTACAAGCTAAGATTAAAGCAGAACTTGGTGAAAACAAATATGACCGTTTGACTGTCGAACAAGTCGAATCTTTGACTTATTTGGATTGTGTTCTTCGAGAAGTCTTTCGTTTTCTTCCTCCTGCTCCCGGCGCAACTCGCACATTAACTGTAGATGATCGATTACCTGAAAGTGGTGCTCAATTGCATAAAGGCGATGAAGTATTTATTTCGTTCTACAGTCTAGCTCGAGACAAACGATATTGGAAAATTGATCCCGATTTATTCTATCCTGAACGTTTTCAAAATGAAGATAAAGATCATCATCCTTATGTTTCAATTCCTTTTGGTGGTGGCCATCGACAATGTATTGGTCAAGATCTAGCTCGTTTCGAACTAAAAGTGATAGCAACAAGATTAATGCAATATGTCACTTTTGGAGATGGTGGAGCTGAAGTGAATAGTGGTGGATATGTTCAAAAACTCATGACTTTACCCAAACATGTTGGTGTTACGATCACATTTGATTAGAATTCGAATGTCGAGTTTTAATATAGTATAGACAAATGAATTCAAGAATGAAATTTCCGAACGTTGAAGTGCTATTTCATCGTGTTTATGAACGCCTTTCAAGCTACTTTTTTCCATTTTTTATTATCATTTTTTTTCATAACAATATTTATCGTATACATGTCTAACTTACACTAAATCTACCATTGTCGCCATTGGAATGATCTATTCTTTGCATACGCCTACGATGAACGCTCTTTCGATGATCGGTGTTTCGCATATTGGTCAAAATACTTGAAGAGACTTGCGAAGTCTTTAGATGGCTATCAACTACGAGAACAGTCTTGTATCAATGCGAACCGAGTCGAATGGCTAGATGGAAGAAGTTCGATTCGTGCTCTGCATCGTTCCAAACGTTTTGTCCCGCATGTGGATGTTTTTGGGCGGATCTTGGAGTGGCTTGCAAACCAAGGACTAGGAGATTCAGTGGCTATGCTGAATATGGATGATATCAGGTGCTATGCAGAATTCCCAGAGACTTTCTAAGAACTCGAATATCTGTGTCGTTTCGAGTGAACGCTCATTTTTTATCCATTCTCATTCTTCAGTTCCACATAATTTTCTTTTTTTGATGCACAAATGCTCTTAAAAGGTTGTCCCTTTAGGACCTTTTGGTCATTAGGGTAAATAAATGCTGAAGTGTAGATATAAAGCCATCTGATGAGACTCGTTAGCAGGAGTCAAAACCGGCAACGGCAGCTTGTCTCACACCCTCACCCCTCAGCTAGAGGAATCCAATCAGTTGACAAAATCACTAAGGGATCCAATTGTTGGAATGATTCTTCTCTAGGAGATAAAAATAATGTTTTCTTCATGGATGCAAATGTTCTAACAAGTCAACGTGTAGTTGATGTTATTCTTCGAGCATCTGGCGCTTGTGCTGCATCATAAGTAATATTTTATTGAAGAAGAATTTATTGTTAGGGTTGTATGAATAACATCACTTGGGATGATAATAAAGCAACTAGTTATAGTTATTATTAGGTATGCACCAGTTACAGTTTTTTACCAGTTAACTGTAACTGTTATAACTGTAACTGTCGTAACTGTATAACTGTAAAACTGTCACTGTCATAACTGTAACTGTCAAAACTGTAACTGCTCATAACTGTAGACAAATATTCTAGAGTGAATTAGTCTTCTACGATTT